TTTAAACTTTTTTCCCCCCCTTCTTGCCAAAAGTGGACGAAGAAAACTAAAATAAAACTTTTTATTGAAAATTAGTGAGAATAATTATTTTAACGTGATTGATCTTGTTATAAAAATTAAAGTAAAAATTCCAGTCTTGATAAAATGCAGAAATAATTATTGATTCGGTATGCATCTGCAAAAGAAAGACGTAAAAAACGGTAAAATAATAAAAACCTTTTGTTTTTTTTAACATTACCGAAAGAAATTGTCTTAACTTGCAGTGGAATTAAAAAAAAAGCTTTTATTTTACATTTCTTAGCATTAAGTAAGAAGCTGCTAATAAACTTTCTAGAACTAAATCTTTCTTTGGGATGGAAGAAAATGACCATAAAATAGTTTGAGAAACTTTTTTTTTTTTTAAACTAAAAAAAGTAGAGGAAACGAATATTTTTACATTTTTGACTTTTTCTGTTTCATAAAAGAAAAAAAAAAAGAATCCTTGTCCCTGATGTATGTGAAAATTTAAAAAAAAATAAATAAGTATTCCAATTTGCCAAATACACTCGTAAAAATTTTTACATTCTTTTTTATTATAAAATTTCATTAATTACCCTGTAAGTAAACTAGTTTCCTTCACACTATTTTGTGTTTGAGAGAGAAGTGTAGCCATTATGAGTAAATTATCAACAAAAAATACTAAAGGATCCCAAGGATCTATTTGAACTGCTAGGAAAACTAGATCTATTTAGAAAAGATATTAGACTAATCCAGAACTTCTACTAGGAGCAAATCACCTACATACAGATAGAAAATTAAGTAGCTACACAAAAAATAGAAAAGTGTGTGAGAGAAGGATGCATCTTCTCCCCAGATGTATTCAACTTCTACAGCAATGCTATCTTAATGAAACTGGAGACCCTATCAGGATGGGTTATTGGTGAGGATAATCTTAACAATATAAGATACACAGATGACACTGTGTTGATTGCCAACTTGGAAAGAAAACTATAGGACCTCTATAGACAGGATGATGGAAGAAAGTGAGAAAAAAGGACTAAGCAACAACTGCAAAGAAACAGTATGATTGTCAGGAAAAGAAAAAAAATGTTGTGAGTTATAAATTAGAGATATATAAATATCAAGTTGGTGTAGAAGTTTAAGTATCTGCAAAGTATTTTAACAGAGGATGGATAATGTGATATTAAGATTCAAACACACATTGAACTAGTGAAAGAAGCATTTCAAAAGCTAAGCAAGGCAATGACAAATGGAAAATTTTTGTTAGAAACAAAGAAAAAGTGTTGGATTGCTGTGTATTATTCATCCTCTATAATGGCAGTGAATGTTTGACAATCTCTCCATGGTTGAGGAGAAAACTCCAGACAGAGGAAATGTTGTTTTACTGAAAGTTTCATGGACTGAATGAATAACTAACAAGGAAAGAAATCGCAGGTTATCTTGAGGGCAAGAGAGATACACAGGACACTGAGCCATTTACTTGACAAATTTGTGAAAATGGATTGTGGGACAGGGAGGAAAACTGCTAAGAGCCACATATGATAGGTAATCAGGACTCTTCACATTCTGAAGGGACATTTCACACAGGAGATAGATTAAGAAATGAAAATATTTTTTTATGAATATAAAAAAAAATAAACACTTCTTTTCAAACCAGTGAATGAATTTTTTTTACATATATGAAGGTACAAGTTTAACAAAATTTTATTGATAAAGTCTTTAAAAAATTTTTTGATTGTAAAATGTTAGAATGCACTAATATAGCTTATCTAGAAAATGAATGCATAGAACAATTCTTAAAGGTGTGGCGTAGAGGATTGCTACAATAACTCGCCAATTATGACATCTTTGGAAGAGTTTTTGCAATTATCACGTCTTCTGAAGCCTGTGATATCAATGTAGGCATCCTCCATGGCTCTTTTCCTGTTTTATATTAACCCTTTGCCTAAGCATTCTCATATACTTAGTAAATATCAATACAAAAGATACCACTTCCCAATATGTAGGGGACTAGGGCCTGGCAGCTGAGCTCCCCTTTTACTTAACTCTAGTAGCTGACTGGAGGGGGAAAACAAAGGCTTTTAACATTCAATTGCTCCAAAGCCAAACCTAATAAGTTTTAGCATCACTGAGTAGACCCTGAGTGCTCTTCAGTCATGAACAATTCCATTCTTAATGAGTCTGTTTTCTTTGAATGTCTATTGTGGTTGAAGTTCAACCACAAGTCTCAAATGGAACTTGTATATACAATCCACTATTAAAAGAGGCTGAAAAAATGGTTGGTAACTTGTGCTGCTCCAGTAAACACCTGATTCCACTTACCATTCTCTATTTTTAAAAGAACCAAATCAGACCCAAAAATGGAGTATTGCTGCCATATCAGAGCTGGAGCTGCCCAATCCTCACTTTCCAGAAATGACAAAAATGCAAAAGCATCTATGTTGCCTTGTGGGTGATGAATTCTTTTCCACTCTATAATCTCTTTCTCACAGACAAAATATTGCAAGCTTCTTGCTGCTATCGTTTTTTCCATGGAAGGTGGAAATATGAAAACAAATAAAAAGTCCATAATATAAAAGATACTTTGTATATGTCTCATAAAAATAATGTTGCTTAATCAAACCAGCTATAACATAATATGAAAACCAGGACACAAAAAACTAATTTGAGCAGTTCACACCGACCATACTTGGAGTTAATGCTAAGCTATCACCCTTTGAACTCATAACATTAGAAACCATAACCTTTTTCATACTATGGGTCAACCAAAGGACAAATTCCAATCTCACTCATTCTTTCCTTGTCTTTGTTAACACCAGACCTTTAGTACTTATCCGATGATTTATAGCACTGGAACTCATCAGAACTTGCTATAGTTATAATCAATCAGAGAGCAAATTCAAAACTATAAGTTCTTTCTTCCTTATGAACTGACACAGATTTGGGGTCTGCTTGGTAGTCTTTCTCAGATTCATTCAAGATAAAATCTGGGATTTCAAGTTTTTGAGATAGGCAGGGTTTGTCTAGCGAAACAATTTTTCTAGACACTACTTCTCACCTCCTTCCTACACTGTTTTTCAAAATGGTGTAGGAAGGAGTTTGCTGAAGTTTCAAGCCTGGGATTTTTTACTGATTAGGTATTGTTGGTCATAATTATAAAGAAAATTAGAAAATTAAAATGACAAGTATATTCTGATATATAAAATAATCTGAGAAGAAAATGTATAATGTTTGGAAAAATCATGTGTTTATTTAAAATTTCTTGGTTTGTTTTGTTTTTTTCTTATTTAACATCTTTTAGTTTTCAGGAGATAGATGGTCACTGACGTTGCATTTAAATTTGCTTTTTAGATTGTATATGTCAGGGAATCAAAAAATCAGAAGAGAATTTTACAGACTTTTTTTAGAAATTTCTGAAAAACAAAAACATTGTATTCTATTCATAGTTATTTCTTTATAATATGGTAAATATGTTGGTTCAAATATTTTTATGAACTTATAAATATAGAATTAATCTTGTGAATAAACAATAACTAAATAATGGTAATGTTTTTGTTATTAAAATTCTAAACCTATTTTTAAATAAATATTGTCCAAGGACTATACATAATAGATGTGTCAAAAGAAAAACTGTCCTTTTCATGCACTGCATTTTTTTTTTGTTATAAAGTTTAAACTTTGCCGAATTTTCCAATTATTCCAAACTTAAGAGTAGGATCTAGCATTGTGCCAAAAAAAAAAAAAAAGAAATCTTGATAACTTATTACTTATCCAGAATGATCTAAAAACAAGTGGTAACTTATAAATTAGGAGTAACTCTTATTTAGATGTTTCATTTGCAAGTAAGTATTGTATGAACCAAACAAAACCCATTACCTTTTAATTTTTTTTTTTTTTGTTTATCTTTTTCTAGCTTTTTCCATTGGCCATGTTCAAGGTGAATGTCGAAAAGAAACTTCAGAGAAAACTTTGAATAACATAAAACAAAGGATATCAACTACGAGCAAAAATGGTGACTATGTGATTCTTTATCAGTAAGTATCTTTGTTCTTCATGAAATGTCTTGTCTACATGACATAAATTCACGTGTAGAATTTACTATGTACAATTTAAAAAAAATGGCTCTTGCTATAACAGACTTTGCAAGCATCAAATATAGCAGGTTGGACATATTAAAATCAGATTTAATGGAAGAATATTTACTGTATTTGAAAGCATAAGAGATGCACAGGCATCAACAGTGTATATACTTTTTTTTTTCTTTTAGGTAATTTACCCCAGGCAAGGCAGGAGTGCCACTAGCATGCAAAGGGGTTACAGAGGAATGAGAACAAGAGTAAAGAGGCATGTTTGAGAAAGGGATACAGAGGAGGATGAGAAACAAGTTCAGGGTGTCAGATGTCGATTGACATTACATTTGAATATTTGAAGATTATAGTCATCGGGGAAGCAAGTAAGGGGAAGGGAGTTCCACAGATGGGAAGTGCGAGAGAAGAAAAGATGGTTACATTTAACTGTTTTGACAGTGAAAGTGTGGGACCGAGATGCCAGACTGGTAGCACGTTTAAATTCAGGAAGTCCAGGAACCAGTGACAGTAGCTCATCATTGCCATGAAAACATTTGTAGAAGAAACAGCGGGAGACCACAGCATGTCTGTAGGATAGCAATTGTAGACTAGATGCCAGATCAGAACTGATAATATTGCATATTTGTCTCTGGATTTTGTCAAGGACCTCAAGACGTACAGCGGGTGAACCAGACAGCAATATTCCATTCAAGAAAAAATGATTTTAGTGTATTTAAGCATGTAATATTTAAAACAAAGACGTATGGCCATATCACATTGAAATACTGGTTCTTGTATGATTACCAAAGTTAAGCATATAGGGCTTTAATTTTCCTATTAAACTTGACTTAACTATTCAGAAGTAGTTTTAACTAAATAACAACCAACTAACCAAATTCTCTTTTCTCACTGGTTGTCCAAATTTATTTGGGCTTACAGCCATACCATGTTAAAATGCCTGTTCTGTACGATCACTGAAGATAAGCAACATTGAGCTTGGTTAGTACCTAGATGGGTGACTTTTTGGGAATATCAGGTGCTGTAAGCTTGAATGTGTAGTGTGTTGTGTAATGGATAATGGCTTGGAATCATTAATCTGAGAGCCAAGTTCCAATTCATGTTAGGTTTGTTATATTTATTTACATGTAAATGCCCTTCTCTCCTCAGCTATGGGTTAATTAGTAAGACTTGTATCATTGAACCATTATTATTTCCATGAAAAAATTCTTACAATATAAAATCATTTCTGGCTTTAAATAACCTGCAAAGTGTTGATAAACCATAGAAAACAAAATTTAAAGCAAGCTTTGTATGATAGACATAGTTGTCTGCAGATTTAATATCATGTTGTCTTGATTAATGTTTTACCATTACTGATATTTCTTTCTGTTTATGTCACTTTATTGTTTAGTTTCCAGTCAGTGACCGAGTGAAGTGTGTTGAATTATGATAGATTTACTGCTAATCTCAGTGCTTTACAATAATCCCTTTTATATTATTTGTAATGTCATTTAAGTAAATAATATATTTATGGAATTGGGTTAGGTAGAAATGACCGTCTGGAGAAAATTATAGTCTATAGTGCATGTTGGGGATAAAATTATCCTACAGGAAGCCTTCATTTGGCATCTAAGGTATGTTCTATGAAGAATTAAAGAATAGCCATGGCGAACAAGATTGAACAAAGAAATGCTAATATTAACTGTTCCCTTATATAAGGAAACATTTGGATATACATTCTTGGGAAAGATAGGAAGTAGGCTCCTTCTTAAACTGCTTACCATTCATGGTTAGAGAGTCCAGTCTTTTTTACTTTTTAATCCATAGATAGGGGAAGAAGAGATTTATGCCTTTTCCCCAAGGCTATATCAGAATTTTAACTTTTTCTTTGTTTTTTATCTCACTGGATACTTTGTTAAATTATACTAAGTATCATAACGATCTAGCTTAGGATTGATATTTTGAAGCAGAATATTTTCCAGGGTTTTTCTCAATACGAGATTGTATAGCAATTTTGAATCAAAATTGTTAAAATTTTCTAGTGTAAAATTAAATGGAACAGACTTGGTTAGAATTTGAACTCGGCTTGCAAATTCCACTTTTCGTACAGGTATTTTTTTACACTCGGCACACATCCATATATACTATTGCAAATAATTCATGAAATTATACTCATCTTTGTTTCAATTTGTAAAACTCTGATAAGTTAGAAATTAAATTGTTTTGATGAATAGAAAATAGTTCTGGATATTCTTGCTTTTACTAGCATTTATGTGGAAATAATGTTCATATCCTGAGCCTAAACCTGAATAGAAATTTCCTCCTCTTTTATGTGGTGTCTCACTTCAGGCTGTTGGCAATCATGCCTCTCTCCAACTTCCTATCCTTTGTAGCTCTTAGTCTCTTTTTCACTATAAGAGTGTATGGAAATTTGAATCAAAATTGTTCACATTTTCTAGTTACTATCTTAATTATCAATATAAAACTGTGTAAGGTTTTTTCCATTGGTTATCAAAGTTTGAAGACTGATAATAAAATATTGAACTGCTTTTTAAAAGAAAAGTTTAAACAAATCAAAAAGTCTGATTTTGATAAAATTTGTATCTCAAATCAATAAGAAATTTAATCAGTACTACTAAACAAAATAAGAGATTATTAAATCTGAAGTAGGAATATACAAAATAGATTGTAAATAAAATATATTGGTGAGGCAGCTGGAATTTTAAGAGATTACATGAAGATAGGCAGAACCTTTTCCAAAATGATATGAAATGGATAGAATCTTGTAATAAGAAATTGGAGAGTCTAGTTTGAATTCCAGTCAGGTTTGTTACATACACTTAAACACAAATATCCTTGTTCTTACAATCCAAAATATGTTTTGGATTTAAATTGGGTACTTCCACTTGCTAAAAAACAAAAAAAAACAGTATAGCATGATGAAAAAAGGCCCCAAACTTAATAAAAGTTTTGTCATCAAAGGTTTGTTATTAACAGAGGAAAGACTAAAGTATTTTTATTTTATTAAATTTTTAATCTTTTTTAGCACATTTGAAATTTTGATGAAAAATCTTTTTTTTTATGTCAGCAGCTGACATAATATTTATAATTAGTGTTGTTATTTTTTTTTTTTCCAGGTGAAAAACATTGATTTAGAAATTCTTGCAAAAATCAAATAATATTAATGAAACAATTTAATGAAATCAAAAATCAAATTTGAATGAAACATTCAGGACTTATTCACAAATGAATGAAATTATTTTTTTAAAAAAATCTTTGTAAAAAAATTTTTTTTTTTTATATGTTACCCACACCCAACCCATTTATTTAATTTCATGAAATCTTGAGAAATTAAATTGCAATCTCAAAATTTGTTTTATTAGTTCAGGACTCGTTGGAGATTTTTTAAATCATTTTTTTTTCTTTTGTTTAACAGGACCTCCATTTACCGAAAATCTGTTCTGAATCTTATAATACAAAATGCAATAAATCTATCTAATTATTTAATTAGAAAAACTTTTAATTGCTTTTATAAAAAAGATTTATTAAGACAAAAAGAAAAAAATTTTAAGAAAAAAATTTTTTCGATAGATAATGAATTTTTACAAGAATTGTTTCATTTTTTTTTTATTTATAATAATTTAAATCATTTAAAATTCTGCATTACTTCAATTCAGTTAAATGATATTGTTATTAAGTGAAAACGATATTTACAAATCAAAAATTGAAAAACTTAATAATTTGTGTACCCCAAATATTTTTAACAAATAATTTTTAATTATATTTTAGTACGGAAACATTCCCATTTTTATAAGTTTGGATGTCCGTTTTAAGAGTTGTCGTTCTTTAAAATCTGTCTGTCTGCAATTCTTACGTTTTCATTTCTGTGTTTCATTGTCTTAAGCTTTGCAAATCATCCCTTTGAAACCCAATATAATTCTCCTAAAAAATAATTTTTACTTTTAAATTTTTCTTATTCACTTTCTATTTAAAGTTCTTATTTTTAATTTGCGTGTCATTTTGAAATTTCCTTTCAAATTATTTTTATTTTAACTCCTAAAATGTTTTTTTCGTTTTTTTGAGTTAGCAGTTTTTTACTTCTTTTTTTTTTATGAGAGTTATTTTGATAAAAACGTAAGGCTATAAATAAATAAATATATAAGTAACTAAAATTCAATAAAATATTAGATAATTGTTGAAAATTATATGTTAATTTTAAAAAATTACTAGGTAGTTAAAAACCAAAAACAAAGCATTCACTTAGCTTTTGTAAATTTATGTCAATTTCTAGTCAACCATAATACACCTTAAACTGCCAATCAATTAACACGTCAGAAAAACAAGACTCCGTGGTTAAGAAATGCTTGTATACTTATGTTTTATTCTATAAGTAATATTTGTTTGAAATGAGATTAATTTAACTTCAAATTTGCTAATTTTCCTCAAATAATGTGTTACAAATATATATTTTACTTTTGGAAGATTTTTAAAACTGAGAATTAACTCTTAATATTTATTGATTTTTATTGATTTTTCTGAGAGCGACCAAAGAGTTGAGATTCCAATCAACATAATTTCTATTTGTAGTACACCTGGAAATAGTAAATTTAATCATTTAGCTTTCAATTAAAGTTAAAAAGAAAGCTTCAAGAATGCTTTTTCATTTTTAAGAATTCATTTTAAACCTTGGGTATTGAAAATTTAGTGGAGGTTCCTACTTTGAATAATCCACACACACACAAAACAAAAACATGAGCAATGTTTAACCATTGTACTTGCAAACCCCCACCCCCCCAAAAAAACAGTGTCAAAAGGATGGTTATTCCATTGATATTATACACTTTTGTCTTCCTCAGCAATGTTTATTTACAAGATTATAAAAATTGTGTGAACCAAATACAATGCAATATTTATTGTTTACCATTTTATAAAGAAATAAATTTGAAAAGAAATCTATTGAAAATAAATTGAAATCTGTTCAAAATTTGGTATTACTTATATTGATTGGTATATTCATGAAAAAGAGGGAAGATTATTATTCTTTCATTTTTTTTTTTTTTTTTAACAATTTTTCTAGATTGGCCTTTGTCATAATAAAAAAAAAATACTGATTTTTATAATTTTAAGAACAAAGTCCTGTTCATAATATAAATACAGTGTCAAATTGATCCCTGGCTTCTGTACATTGTTTTTATTTAAAAATGTCAAGTTAAGCAATGTTGTGCCTCGTCAGTATCTAGATAGGTAACTGCTTGGGAATACCAGGTGCTATAAGCTTGGATGTGCAATGCGGGTAATGGATAATGGCTTGGAATTGTTAATTGGTGAGCTGAGCTCCAAATCCGCTTGGGTTCATTATAATAAGTTATATGAAAATACCTTTGGGAAAGGTATGAATCCATCTCTTCTCCTCCTCCCAATCTATGGGTTAATTAGTAAAACTTGTATCACTAAACTTATATCACTAAAAGAATTATTTTCTCCTAAAAAATAAAATTGCATACAAAATATTCCCCCCCAGCCCACTCATTTATTTCAGACCCCACATATTTATTTTATTTTCCAAACTGTATGTTCTAACCTCTCCCTCATTTTTTTTTCCGTTCAGAAATTAATTTTGAATGAATTTTCTAACCTACCCTTCTATCCCAGACATTTTTTTTAGTCATTTCAAGGCAATAAAGCCACTAAGATGCAAGGGGGGTTACTGAGTGTTAGAGAATATGAGTAAAAAAAGAAAAGAAAAACACTTTAAGGAAAGAGAACATTAAAAGAACAAGAATTAAGAAGACGGAAGATGATAGACATTGCATTTAAATTTTTGAGGATGACAGTTGACTGGAAAGCAAAAAGCCAAAAGAGAGTTCCACAAGTGAGAAGTGCAATAGAAGAAGCCATTAGCATAGAACTTATGGTTAGATCTAGGCATTTCAACTGGAAAATGATGAGACCTAACTGCCAATCTAGTACTGAATTTCTAAATTCATAAAATCTGGGTACCATAGAGGAAAGTTCAATTAACATTAATTTATAGAAAAGGTACAGGATAGATACATTATAGTGATAGAAAAGTGAATGAAAGTGAGATGCCAGGTCAGGACCAATAAAATTGCATATTTTTATTTGGATTTTATGTAAAATCTCTAAATATATGCCAGAAGTGGCAGCAGTATTCAAAGCATGGAAGGATGGTAGACTTATAAATATGTAAGATAGATTCTGGAGAGAAAAAATTGTCTTGCACGACATTGGGAACCTACATTCTTAGCAGCAGAGCAAATAATTGATTCAATATATTCTTTCCACTTCATATCAACAGAAAATGTTAGTCCAAGAGGGCCCTCTCCCAGAGGATAGCATTAGCCATAAAAATAAATAGCTTGCTCCTTTTGAATAATGGCTGCAAAGCTCATACCTGTTCATAGTCATCAACATCAATTAATCTCCTGTCCGCATGATTATTATATATACTCACATATAAATCTACTTCGTGTATAGTGAAATTTTTTTGTGAAATAGCTGATTTTTTTTGTTTTTTTTTCATATCAGTCAGTTATGTGCCATGTGTGATACACACTTAGGCAATCATGTATCTTTTGATACATGATTGACAAGGCAGATTTTTTTTTCCCCACAGTAGGTTGCCATTTCTTTCTGCTGTAGACTAGTTGCTATCCAAGGCTATAGAACCTGGTCTGTCCTGCTATTTACCCATAGCTGGAGGCAGAAGAAGAGGATTCATACTTTTCCCATGGGTATTAGCTTGTAAGTGAATGTAATTGATTTGAGTGGAATTCGAACTCTCCTCTCTGATTCCTCAATCTGAGCCGCAATCCATGACTCCACTGTGCCTCCCCTTTTTTTTTCATATAGCTTGTGTATAATGTGACTGCAGCTTCTGAGCAATACAAATAGGTCCACTACTACTGGGCATCATCCTGGGCATATATTAAATAAAGGGTCTTCATTCGTTTTGTACAGATTTACCCCAAAACTGGTAAGAAAAACCACTGTTCATATACCAACAGAAAGAAAGAATCTAGACTATGAGAGGCAGGCTAAAGGAGCTTACCTGTACCATTAGAGTTAACCAAAGGTACTGTAAGAATGTAAGCATACCAGGTAGGTTATGGTCACTGAAAATAGATAAAATTTAACCACTCCTGAAAAAATTTACATATGTATAGTGCAACTGGTCACTAAAAATGCATGATTTTTAACCTCTTCAAAAAATTGCATACTGTACTCTCCCCTCCTACAATTTTTTGCATAAAAAAACTGATCACAAAAACTAGCACTATACCCGAGTATCTTACTCATTATAGAATGCAAATTGTGCGTGTGTGTGTCTGTACGTTTATATATTGGATCGGATTTCCTACATTTTTCAACCGATTTCAACAAAACTTCACAGGACTATGTAAAATTACCTTGCTATGGTTCTGATAGTGCCAAAAATTGGAAAAATACAATGGCTTTTGCATGAAATCAATTTGAAAACACAATTAAGAGGCATTAATGAAAGGGGAACAACTCATATCGAGTTATTGAGTTATACTTATTATAAAACCCAGGTTGGTTGTGTGTGTGTTCGTTTATATATGGGATCGGATTTCCTACATTTTTCAACCAATTTCAACAAAACTTAATTTTTTTTTTTTTTGCAGGTAGTGTTTCTTATTGTCTTGCACACTTTTTTCTTTATTTTTACATTCTGAATGCTTTAAAAATTCCATTTACAAGACAATTGTTTAAAATATAATTCTATTCAATCGGTAGACTCATAACGATTGAAAACAATGTTTGAGTTTGGGTTTGACCAATTCGTAAAAAAAAAAAAAAAAATAAAACTAAATAAGACTTGTGTGTCCGTCAACCTTAAATAATAATCTTTGTCAATTTTATTTTTCAGTTTTTATGATGGTCGATACTTGATTTGTCTCTTACTGTTACATCCCTGGGCAATGCCAGGCTCTACTGCTAGTATATAATAAGTCCCTTTTTTTAATCTTGTGTAAAATATAATTATTTTGATATTCAGTGGTTTAAATTTTTTTTCTTTTCTTTGTGACAGGAATATGAAAAGAGACTACATCAAAATAATGAAGGATACATTTGACTGTGAAGACGCTGACAATTTGCTTGATGAGTGGGATAAAACTGAGAAGAATTTACTGGACATTATCAAGAAAAGTGAGTGACCACTTAACTGCAAATTAATTTTGGACATTATTTTTCAAAATTATGTCTTAGCTTGAAAAGACTATATTTTTATATAATTTCTCATGTTAATGCTGCATTGAATCAAATATAAAATAACCACATATTACTTTAACAAAATATACAATCCTGGGTATGATGATAAATTACATCCAACAACAAGGCCCCCAAACAAAAATCAAACCCTAGAAAAGTATAAAAATACATTTTTTTTGTAATATTACCAGCAATACATTTTTATATATAAAAAATTACCAACAATATATTTTTATAGTAAATTTATACTACATACAGTATATATTTATACCAAAATAACAATCATAAAATAACATTTTATAGTAAAATTAAAAACATGACATACATTGTCAAAAAAAAAAAAATATTTACTATGATTAATCTCATTTCTTGTAAAGAGAAACAAATTTTCACTCCTTGTCTGATTTTGTCAGATAATTTGGGAAAAAATGCAACTAAGTAATTATAAATCTTGTCATTCTCTTGAATTATGAAGTTTGAATTTTCATATTTAGATTTCAGCATTAAATAACCAAATTTTAATAAAATATATATTTAATCAATTTTACATTAAGCTTTTCAGTTAAAAAAAAAAAAAAAAGAAAAAATGGCTGGTCTTGATATGAGAACAGTTGCTTCAGCTGTTGAACTACTTATTGAAGTGTATGTACCTATGCTTATATAATTTGAGGCAATATTTGCTAAAAAAATAAAAGAGTGAGGGGAAACAACTCTTTTATATCATACCACCCCAAAATCTATTTTTATCCTCATCATCAGTCTTATGACTGACTGGTTATAGTTTTGCTGTACACTTGAGGACCTGACAAGTTCCTTACACATATCTGAGTTTAAAGCCAGTGAGGTATTCATTCCTTTAGGTCATACTAGGTAAGACGTTAAACTACATCCAGCAGCAAGGCCTCTGATCAGGAGGTTTTGAGGAGTGTGGAACCACCTCTTAATTGCTTGTGTTCCCAGGTCCACCCTGGTCTGGGGTGGTAGCACCTGTTAGGGTCCCAGCTATGGGCAAATAGTTAACTATTACCAGCAATACTTTTTTGAAAAAATTATTACCAGCAATACAATTTTGAAGTATATAATAGCATAGATACAAATACCACGGAAATACCATTTATAGATAATTATATAGATAATTACTACATATCAAACAAAATGTTAATCATATAATTTGTCTTGTAATAACATTTTTAATTGAAAGAAACTAAACATAAATACACGACAAAGATATATGTGGTTATTTCTGTCCTGTTTCATTGTGTTTAATCTTTTAAATTTTTATAAGCATTTCTGATTTTTTGAAATCTTAAACGAAATTCAACAATCTTTTCGGTTGTTTGGATGTTTACAGTTTTGACAAAGACCACGAAATATATTGCAGGTAGGAAAAATATTGTCTTATTGATAGCATAACTTACATTAATCATCTTGCTTAACTTGGATATTAGAATCTTTAAGAAGAGACATACAAGGATATTTAAAATCTGAAAAGACAGGAAGAGTGTTATATAGTCTGAATTTTAAGAATTTACTTAATGTAACATGAGAGAAAATTGCTTTATCACCTGGCAGCAAATTGATTCAGATGTGTCTTGTGTGTAAAGTGTCTCCAACCAAAAAATAACGGCTGGATGAGTCATATATTTAAGAAGACTCTTTTTTTGTACCTATGTAAACTTGACCTCAAGCTACAAAAACTGCTTAACCCTAGAACACTGACCCTGGGTATATAGTACCCAGCGCAAATTTTCCTGTTTTTAATTACAATTTTCAGTACCTGATTTTCTTACCTAAATGTTTTTCAGTTCCTATTAATGTTAACTCAAAGTACAAAGTTTGTAGTGCCTGCATGAAAAGTATTTCAAATAAAGATTTATATTTAATTTTTTTTTTTTTTTTTTGATATTTTCAAAATTGGGTATGATATACCCATGATTAGTAGTGGTGTGTGTAACTTTAATTGATGGTTAGTGTTCTAGGGTTAATGAGGTGACAGAGGAGTGGTAGCAAACAGAAGATATGTGTTGGACTGTATGATTTATGCTACACTGTTTGGTGAAAGAAATGAATTTGGGAACTTTATTTGAAGCAAGAAGGAACTGACTACACTTAATTTCTTTGCTTGTCTTTAAAATGTTAAACTGATAAACTTTGTATGGAATATATGCATTGTACTTATACATATCTTTAAATCAGGGAAATGTTCATTAAAACTATTTGCATAAGTCTGCAAAGAAGTAAATTTCAGGAAGAATTTCTATAAAACGTTGTTTGTGTTTATTAATTAAAGTGGTCCCAAGAGGAATAGAATACACTTTTGTCATGCACATCTATTTTCTTCCATATTTTATGCTCATAAAATTATTTGATTTTAAAGCAATTCAAAGTGGTAAAAACAACAATTTCAAAATTCCAAGCAGGAATGTAAAACAATTTTTCTTTATATCCAGATTTCTGTCTCCCAGGAATTTCAAATCAAATATTTTTGGTACCTAAGAATTCTTTTGCAGAGTGATTGTTGGCACAATGTAGAACCACTTCAGTTATTTTCATAATAGGGGGTTTGTGAACAGGTCCGTAGCTCAGTTGTGTATGAAATTTGAAGAAGAAAAAAAAACTTAACTCTAAGAAGAGCACATTTGGGTGTATTCCTCTTAGGGACCACAATAGTTGACAAGTATCACATTGTTTCGACCATTTAAATATGAGTATTTTAAGCAATTACATCTCTTCCTTTGTAATGTTGAAACACTGGTTCCTGTACAATCAATGAAGTTAAGCAACATCAAACCTGGTCAGTACCTAGATAGGTGACCGCTTGGGAATACCAGGTGGTGTAATGGATAATGGCTTAATTGGAAAGCTGAGTTCCAATTCCAGTTGGGTTTGTTAGATTCACTTATATGCAAATATCCTTGGGAAAGGTATGAATCCATCTCTTCTACTCTAGCTATGGGTTAATTAATTTTGTATCAGTAAATCGTTATCTGAAAAAAATAAAATTCTCACAATCTAAAAATATTTTCTGGCTTTAAATAACCTGCAAAGTAAGCTACTTAATAGGCTTTGTTATTGTGATTTTTTTTTTTCAAAGTGCCAAGGGTCAGAAATTTAGCCATAAGATTTCACCCACCTCAACTTATAAAAGTTTCTTCTCAAGCCCTTACAGGATGGATCTTCATTGTGGCCATATGACAGATTAAGTGAAAATGACTGAATGTCTATTTCTTTTCTTGCAGTGTTGTAAGTTAAGAAAGCTAACAAAACTATATTTTCTGGTCTAAGAAATCTACAATCATAATTTTCAATGAATATCTTTTATTTATTTCTACAAATGAAATGATTATATTGAACAAGGAGTGTAAAGGGGTTTGTGACATTAATATATAGGTCTGGTTATAGTCTTAAACTCAAACCAAATTCATATAAACTTAAGTGCGTGCACATGCACACACACAAGACATAACCAAAACATGTTCTCAGTATTGAGGAATACTCTGATTTTCACCTTAAGGTTTTAGTTAATTTATATTAAGTCCTTCCAGCCATTTCTGTATTAACAGGAGTGGCTGTTAAGTTTCATTAGATTTTGATGTTTATATATTTATTATATAATTTTGTTTTAATTAAGTTTATTTAGCATTAAGTCTAAAATAAAATACCTTATTCAAAAAATAAGATGCTTAAGTGGACACTGAGGTCAATAACTGGTTACAATGGTGTGTTTCATGATTAAATGCAATCTTCTAAGTATATGTGTTGTGTTTTGGTTTGACTCTTTAAACTGGTCAATGCCACATTATGAGTGTATTATTGGGTAGGTGGTAACAGTTTCAAATTATTCTAGAGGTTATTGAGTAGGAATAATTGTGGATCTGAAAATGGTTATTTGTAGTTATTTTATTTTACTTATTTATTATTGATTAGTAATTTTTTGGAGATTATTATTATTATTATTACTACTACTACAATTACATGTATGTATGAGAGTATTTGTAACTTGTTAATTTGTTTAATATCTACTTGTTTAATTAATTTAGATTTTTTCTTTTATTTATTTTTTCTTTGGTGTGGTGATTTTATTTGTTTGCTTTAAGGTATTATTTTCTTTTGGTCAAGTGTGTGGCTGCTTTGAAGATTTTACTTCATAGACTTTACTGCTGGTGATAGAACACTAAATACTTCAGACTCTGATAGAATCATTTACCATCCGCTTCTCTGTGGATGTATGATCCACTCATTAGGAGGGGAATCTATTGTGCCACAATATCACATTGGGTTTGATATTGAAGGATTACAATGACTGTCAAGTTTTGCTTTTTGCAACAAGTCTACTCATTCAACCACTTCTTTTGATCCTTGTATAATACACCATTTTTGTATAAGGAAAGTATAACAACTATTTTCTAATTGTTTTTGTTTTCATAAGTTGCATACCAAGTTGCATGTGTGTGAAATTATTTGAGAAAGTGTACAAAATTTATTTTCAATTTACTTATTTCATTTAATATATATTTTAAATTTTAAAAATTTTTTTTTTTTTTTTAGTACTTTTGAAAAATGTTCCATTATGCATGGAAAAAATATGTATATATAAAGATTGAAGGAATCTGACATCTTAAATAGTAGAAAAAAGCAATATTCTGTGAATTTATACCTTTTTGGTAATAATTTCTATAGCTCTGTCTACCAATTCCTCATTTTCAAAAAAATACACTTGATTCTATCATACAAATTATTATAACAGAACATACATTAGAAATTTTTTTACTATCAAGACAAAATTGTTTTAATTCAATTTGAAGTTGAAATGATATTCTAAGAAGTGGTGAACAATTTTTTCTTTTTTTTTTTTACACTTTATATCAAGTAAAAAGATTTTGGCATGCTTTGAACATAAGCCTTGTATGGCCAACAACAAAACTTTTGATAAAAGAAAATCATCAAACAAATAGCTTGGACTGTTTTTAAATGTACTTGTTATCCACAGATCAACCTGACAACACCATTTTTGGTTTCAAAGTATCTTCTCTAGTTTTAGATGACAATTATAGATTAACTTTATTATTAATTTCAGTTCATATTATTCACATTTTAAAATAAAATATTTTGCAGTTTACTGAATTTCATCTTGAGGCACACCAGTGAGCCATGTCTCACAGTTTGGGAAACACTGCTTTAAAATTGGATGCAAAATTTTATGAATTTTTGAGAAATCGCAGACATTATTATTTTTTTATATTTTTTTTTTTTTTTTTTTTTTTTAAATTATTCAAAAAAATAAACTTTATCCTGGGTATGACATTAAACTGTATCCAACAGCAATTATTTATCAGATCAGGATATTTTTTGAGGAGTTGGAACCTTTTCTTAATTGTTTTTGTTTCCCAGGTCCACCCTATCTAAGGGGTGGTAGCATCTGTTAGGGTCCCAGCTATGGGCAAATAGTGAACTCTTTAAGTCCATGGGTTTGACGATAAACTGCATTGCATCCATGGGGTGATTTTTGTAAACTTGCACAAAAATTGGGTATGACATTATTCAATAGAATCTGTGTCCATGGGTAAACGATAAACTACATTCACATACTGATTATTTAATAAACTACATCCAACAAGAAATTTGTTTTAAAAAAAATTTGAACAGAATTATATGTTTTGGGAATATTTTATTACCAGCTATACATTTTCAAAGGAATAATGTTCCTTTGTTTATAAATACAAAAAAAAAAGATATTACCAGCTATATGTTTTTAAAAAAAAATATTACCAGCAATACATTTTTGAAAAAGTAATATTGCCAGCTTTATGTTTAAAAAAAAAAAAATATTAAAAAAAAAAAAAAAAATATTACCAGCTATAAATTTTTAACAAAACCTTATTCAATGGAATTGTATATTGGGGTCAAAAGACTTTCTTTTTCAAAAAATAGGTTTTAATACCAAAACTCTTTGTAAAAAATTATTACCATCAATACATTTTTGAAAACCAAATGTTATTAGCAATGCATTTTGAAAGGAAAAACCTAAACAAACCTTAAAAACAAAGTAATCCAATGAACCAAACAGGAAAACAATGATCACAAATACACATAAGATACTTCAATGGATTTGTAGAAGAATAAATAAAAAATTATTACCAGAAATAAATTTTTGAAGAAAAATAATATTACCAGCGATGTTTTTGAAAAATACTATTACCAGCTATATATTTCTGAGGAAAGAGATATTGATAAAAATGGATTTCTAACAAAACAAAAATATTATCGGAAAAAAAAAAGAAAAGTTGTCTGCATTAAATGACCCATTGAGGTTAATAAGCTGTAAAACAAAATGAAACAAACAATTAGAAAATAAGATCTGGGCAACTGCTGTAATGTGACAGTCTATTGCTAGGGAATTCAGTACTCCCTTCTTCACTCCTCCTTTTCTAGTCTTGTATCAAACTAGATTAAACACAGTAAGCATTTGTTCAAGGTTTACATTATACTGCGGTCTATTTAGTGAAATAAACACAAACATTTATTAAACAACTATCAAAGTGCTAGTTCTTATAATCAATACATGTTCTCAGTATTGAGGAATGCTCAAATTGATCTTCACCTTAAGGTTTTAATCAATTTATATTAAGTCCTTCCAGCCATTTCTGTATTAGCAGGAGTGGGTGTTAAGATTTAATTATAATTAGCTTTTGATGTTTATATATTTATTATATAATATACTTTTGTTTTAATTAAGTTTATTTAGCATTAAGTCTAAAATAAAATGAACATACCTTAATTAAAAAATGCTTTATTGGTAAAAAAAAAATGACACAAAGTCGCAAAGTGAGCTAATGCTTGATTTGCTTAATGCAGAATTGTTACAAACTTTTAAATTGTTAAAAAGAAGTAAAAACTGCAATATTTGTAAAGTGAAATTAATGGCTGGCCACTCGTTTTTGAGTATGCCTATCCCCTGAGGCAGCTAGCCAGTCTCTGTTGTGGAGATGCCTGCGCTCAGGTGCATTTGTTTTTGTTCAGCACTCTCAGAACCAACCTGTGGTTTATTCTGAAACAATGCTGAGCTGACGTTAGTTACAGTTTTTGGGAAAGAGCACATCATTTGGTATGATCAACTGTTTGAGTAAGGCCAGTATACAGAAACCCTTGGTCATGATGACTTGTGACTTTGTGCTAACACAACCATTGACAGAATGATTCTGTTTATCCAATTTCACTGACAAGGCTTGGGCCAATCCATGATATTTGTTTTCAGGCACTTTTCAAATGTGTGGCATTCTGGGATTGCTTCTCAGGCTGATATTATCAAGAAATCATATTCTTGACAAATCCACCATGGTGAGATTTGAACCTGAGTCTCATAGTCAAAAAGTGAATATTCTAATCACTCTGCCACACATCTATGAAGTAAAATAAACCTAGTTGTAGATGTACTAATCAGTACCAAACACGTCTATGAGTCGAAGTTTCTGTCATTCATTTATTCTAATCAGACAACGGAAAAATGTCATATAAACATTGATTAAATCTATTGTTCTATAAGCCAATCTAATGGTAGATAAAGTATTAACAAAAGTTAAATGATGGCATTCCGATTGTTCAGTGTAGCCTGCTTATCAAAATATTGTGATGAGATTGCATCACTATTTTAGTCAGGGAGGCTTATTCTATTTAGTCAACTGCTTTATTCAAGTTGTTGTTTACCATTAGGGCAGAGTGCCTGGTAAACGATAGTCAGACCATCTTATTTGCATTCAAAGGGCAAGTATTATGTGATTAAATAATATTCACATCTATAGATACAAAGCAACAGAACGAAAAACAAGATATCTATTTCCT